TTTGTCGGGGGGACTTGGTGAAGGGGGGAGCCTAGTTAACATAATGTTCTTCATATAATTGTTGATTAATGATAACAAAATAATAATAATAATTTTACAAAATAAAAAAAGAAAAGAAAAGAAAATGAAGTATATGAGCATGAATTACCCAAAGTCATCTGCTTTCTCTCCACATTCCTGTTGCTCTTTCCCTCTCCTCCAAACATCCAACAGAGAAACTCCATGTCAGAACTGTTTCCTGGCCAATGACCCAGATTGGGCTTGGTCTTACTGTTGTCAGAGAGATCTGTGGAAGGGCCTGCACACAGAGGCTGCAGCACTGACTGTAAGGTGGGCCGGGAGAGGCTGGGGATGCCCAGAAGACCAGCCCCTAATCCCAGGATCTCTGGGCCTCATCCTCAGAGCTAATTCACACACTGGAACATGACTCACAAATCTGATTACCAGGCAGAAAAGTAGGTTTTTAAAAATTTCCTTTTCTCTGCTAAAGAGACAGTTGTACTGTTGGTTAGTCAGCTGTACACAGGGTGCTCCTCAGTATACAGCAGTGTGTACCATCCTCCTACCAGAGGAAGTACTGGGTACTCTAGCCCTTCCCTCATAAGCATGGTCCAGACAAGATTCTCAGAATTCCATGGGTTGCCCCTGGACCTCTGAAATCAAGACTTACCACACGGAGCCTTCATGACAGACCCTAGCCTCCCAGCCCCCACTCCAGGTTCTAAGACTTCCTTGTTTCCCTTTGGGAAGTCTTGGGCCAATAGTATCTGGGACAGTTGCACTACTTCTGTTGGGTAACAGCAGGTACCTGTTGGTTTGTTCTGTAAGCAGTCTTGGGTCCCTCATCCTTGACCTCTTCCTCCAGTCCTGAAAACACTATTTCTTCTTCCTCCTCTTCACTTTCTGCAGAACAGGAATCAAATGCATCTGTGTAATACTCTTCAGCCACAAGAGGGTCTTCTGGGATCTCTGAAATAAAGAACAATCAATCAGGTCCCACCAGTCATTAAAATTATAATGAGGCTAGGATCCCCCATGTTTTCCCAGAGATAAATATTTTGGTTCTGCTTACAAGGCTTGCATGGAATGTAGAGATTAATCTTAGCTTCCTGAAAGTATCTAGTTTAACGTAATAAATATTCAATAAAATTAAGCCAGTAGAGTAAAGGAGGGATAACTCTATTTGCAACCACATTTTAAAGATGGAAGAGTAAAACCATGAAAAAGAAATGATCTCCTTTGAATCCTTTATATTTGGAGGCATGAATCCTTATTAGAAATGAAGGTACTTAGAAGCAAAAGCAGGATGAGATGCCATGGGTGCAGGGCCCTAATACACACCCACATAAAGGTTTTGCAGAGGTAGTTGAGTGGAACTATGTCAACACTATTCCCAGGAATTTCTATTGTAAAGAAAATAACAGTGGTAAGAACAAGAAAGATGGATGATATAATAGCAATGGCATTTTAGCAAGCTAAGGAAAATGTTACAATTCTCTTCCAACAGGCTTATGAAGGCTTTTGAGATGGAGTTCATGCTGGGTAAGTTTACTCACATGTATACCAAATTTTTAGGCATTTATTTTTTAAAAAAGGAAAGGCCACCTACTTAAGGTGATGGTTACCTAAGTTACTTGATATGATGTTAATACTAACTAAAAATGTAGTTGGTGCTGATAATGGTTTTCAGCCAAGAAAGGTCCAGAATGAATCACAAAAACATACACTGATATCGACTTGAATTTGCTAATGGGGGCCTAGAAATAGAGAAATATACTTGGGTAGAGGAGGAAATTACAAAATGATAACCTGCTACATTAAAACAGTGGGCATTTTCATACTACTGAAAGCAATCGAGATTCAGTGCAATCTCTATTAAAATACCAATGGCATTTTTCAATGAACTAGAGCAAAGAATCCTAAAATTTGTATGGAATCCCCAAAGACCCTGAATAGCCAAAACAGTCTGAAGAAGTAAAAACAAAAACTGGAGGTATCATGCTCCCTGATTTTAAAATACTACAAAGCAATAGTAATCAAAACAATATGGTACTGGCACAAAAATAGGCACATAGATCAATGGAACAGAATACACAATCCAGAAAGAAAACCATACTTGTATGGTCAATTAATATATGACAAAGGAGGCAAGAATATACAATTGGGAAAGGACAGTCTCTTTAATAACTGGTGTTGGTAAAACTGGACACTACATGCAAAAGAATGGCTAGTATTGAAAGGAAAGAAAAAGAACTAATAAGTATTGGTAAAGATGTGGAGAAAATAGAACCCTCAAGCACTGTTGGTGGGAATGTAAATTGGTGCAGCTACTATGGAAAGCTGTATGGAGGATCCACAAAAATTTAAAAACAGAAAAACTATATGACCCAGCAATTCCACTTCTGGGTATTTACCCAAAGAAAACAGAAGCACTAATTCAAAAAGATATACACACCCCTATTTATTGCAGCCCTATTTAGAATACCAAGATATGGACATAACCTAAGTGTCCACCAATAGATGAAGGGATAAAGAAGTTGTGGTACATGTATTCAATGGAATACCACTAAGCCATACAAAAGAATGGAATCTTGCCATTTGTAACAACATGGATTGACTGAGAGGGTATTAGATTGAGTGAATAAGTCAGACAAAGATGAATACCATATAATTTCACTTATACATGGAATATTTTTTTAAATCAACAAACCAGAAATAGACTCATAAATGTAGAGAATGGACTGGTGGTTGCCATAGGGGAGGGGAGTTGGGGTATGGAAGAAATAGTTGAAGGGGATAAAGAGGTACAAACTTCTGGTTATAAAATAAATAAGTTACAGGGATGAACTTGCACTTAAATATTTATATCAATTGCACTTAAAAAAATAAACTGTGGACATTTTAGGCTTTGCACCATACTGACTTACAAACAAAATTATTTTTCTAAACTGTAACACACAGAACTGATTTTTATCCCATTGTTGCTACTTTACATCTAGTGGGAAAAATACAGAATTTGGGATCAGAAAATCAAGGTTTAATTTTAGCTCTACCACCTCTTAGACAAGAAGCTAGGAGATAGATTTGGACTTACTGAGTTCCAATTTCTCCAGCAAAACTGATGTAAGGGTTATCTAACAGGGTAGCTATGAAGATTCAATATAGTTCTTATAAAAGTATCTGTATATAGGGAAACTATATATACAAACTTCATTAAGTTTCTATCTGTAAAAATGAACTTTTTCATTAACTGATTACAGAATCTTTTGAGGGTAAAATACTTAGTGGATGTAGAATTCAATGACAATGCATACTTTAAAATCTTTGTTATCTATGGTTTCCCATTAAATACAAGAGGCAGTACTGTCAAATCAAAACTAATCAGCTCAAAAAACATAAATTATATATATATATTTCAAAACTGCCTTTGCCAATCAGTTAACTCCAACACAGCCTGTTTTCTCTTCTAATCACTGATGTCCAGTTGAGCACCAGATGCACATAGGGGTCATGTTTTATAAAAATGTTTATTCAGTCCAAGATGATCACAAGAGAAGTATATGAAAACTAAAGTCTACCAAGAGGACAATTCAGATATCCAGCTTTGCCCTCAAGTAGGGGCATGTTCTTGTTGAATGGTAGGCTGAACCATGTGACCTCCGCCTCTCCCTCCCTACTCCCTGAATCTCTCGGCCCCCACAGCGCTGCCCACTCTACCTCCCCGCTCCCTCTCATCTCCTTTCCCTTGCCCTGAGCCTCTCTGTCATTCATTTACTCACTCATATGCTCTCCCTCCTGCTCTCTGATCATCCCCTCCTCTACCTTCAGGCAAGAATATTTGATTTCAAACTTGACTATGACTCGGTAAGAAATATCATTTACATTGTTGCCTGATACACTATATCTCAATAGTTGAAACAAAAGTTTCATACATCAACATTTACCCCCTACAACACACGACACATCTAATATTTTGCATTTTATTCATTTTTTTTAAATGCTGTTTTCAACTTGCTAAACTGATTCTCAACCCACAACTTGAAAAGCACTAGTTTAGAATATTGGCTTTGGCATCAAAAAGACCATATATTAGTCAAGGCTGTAACATCAACTCCATAATGTTAGGCATCATTTAAACTTTCTGCAATTCAGTTTTCTCATCTGTAAAATGGCAGTGATAGTACCCATCTAATTGTTCTGCACGTTAAATAGTCAAATGGATGCAAAGCACTGTACACATGGTATGCAGCCAATAAATGTTAATTAACTTACATTTAACATAAAACTGTAGTTTTTCTTTTAATGCTCAAAAATAGGAAGAAATATAATCACAAATATATATAACAGAATTACTTTTCAAAATCCGTATAGCACTCAACTCAAATGGGCAGTAAGAAATCACACCTCTCTGGGCTCCAGAGGGGCCCATAGGCATCTGACCACTATGTTCTCTTCCCATTTTCTTTTTCATCCAATGGTTCCATCTAGGCTCTCTTTGGGCAGCCTAGAGGGAAACTCTACAATAGGGGTTAACAAACTTGTTCTGTAAAGAGCTGGTAGTACACATTTTAGGTTATACAGTCCTGTCACAACTGCCCGACTCTTTGTAGTCTGAAAGCAGGCATGGACAACACAAACATGAGTGACGGTGGCTTTATTTCAGTAAAACTTTATTTATAAAAGCAGGCAGCTGGCTGAATCATACAACACAGACAAACCATCCTCTTGCTAAATATTAAGCTTCACCTTCCATAGCTGGGTCCTCTGCATACAGTCGTAGTCCCTTTCCCTCTCTTTCCAAGGATCCCTACCCAGGAAGCAGAGGAAGCAAAGCAATGATCAGGGGCAAAGTGACATCCAACCATATATGCCTAAGTCACGAGATGGACTGGCATGAATTCATCTCCAGTACTTCTTAAGCAAGCACCACTAACTGGGTGTGGCCCAGAAAAGGGTTCATTTTCAAAGGAAAAAGCCAAAAGAAATGCTAAGTCTGCTCACACTGTGCTTGTTAAGCAGCATGTTTTTCATATGCCTAACAATCTGCACCCTTATTAGCTAAGGCTCATTTCTCTGGTCAATGAGGGAACAGTGGTCTATAATAAATAGCTTCAATTCCCTAGTATGCTGCAGCCAGCCTTTTAACAGATGCACTGAAGCAGCATTCTAGCTCGCTGCTCTGCTGGGTGGGCAGTGACACTGCGTGCATGGAGGAGTCCAGTAATGGCTGCCTGAGCTTGCTGCAAATCCATGCTGGAGAAGAGAAGTGCCCACCCTGTTCCTGGAAAAGGATGTTCCTTTCCAGACCCTCCAATTAAGACCATGGTAAGTCCCTTCCTATAAGACTTAAGTCAGGATAGCCTGTAGGGCTTATTAACATCCAGATCTCTGGGCCATGCCCAGAGCTGCTGATCCAGAAGGTTTGGGGTGAGTCCTGAGAATGTGCATGTCTGACACACTGGTGCCGCTGGTCCAGGGACAACAATTTGAAAGCCACTGCTCTAGAATGTGACTAGTTCAAATAAAAATACTAGTATAAACTATACAGAAGCACTATAGTAAAATACATAATAATATAATATTTCTCTGCCTTCAAACCTTTACATGATACAGCCAAAAAAAAATGAAGAAATAAACTTCACTTTAGAAGGGCTCAAATTGGGCCATTAATTGTCTCAACTACTGACAATCTTACCGAGTCATAGTCAAGTTTGAAATCAAATATTCTTGCCTGAAGGTAGAGGAGGGGATGATCAGAGAGCAGGAGGGAGAGCATAGGGGACAGTCATTCCCATTAAATTAATGGGGAAGCAGACATGCAAAAGCTGAGGGAATTTGCTTCCCACAAACCACCTCTACAGGGCATCTTACAGGCACTGCTCTAGATGGAAGCATTCCTAGAAAGAGCACAGAACAAAACATACAACATATGAAGAATGGAGGAGGAGGAATAAGAAGGGAGAGAAGAA